TACAGCAACAATGGTGAAAATATACGTAAAAAAGAAAACCAGAGTAAAACTTCAAATACCGTAACAATGGCGGAAATGCAATGCAGACGAGCAGAGGATATCGAAAACGGACGGTGAGCAGCGGCGAAATACAACAGAGGAGGGCGACGGTTGGACGACGACGGTTGGATGACGACGGTTGGACGACAACGGTGGGTTTATAGGGCAACGTTCTTTGTTCTCCAGAGAAAAAGAAAGAAAGAAATACGATATGACTGTTCTGTTTCTCATAAAAATTCTGGTGGGTATTTTAAATTAATTCTAACTTAACCTATAGCAGCGCTTTTTAATGGCTTTAGCAGCGCTTTAAAAAGCGCTCTCAAAGATCTTCTTATGTACCCCATATAGCAGCGCTTAATGGAAAAAGCGCTCTCGTAGACTAGACCTACATCAGCGCTTTAGAAAAGCGTTGTCTTTGGGCTGTCTTAGACCCCCCCCCTTTAGCAGCGCTTTTTGGAAGCGATGTCTTAGGACCCCCCTTTAGCAGCGCTTTTTAAAAAGTGATGTCTTTGGGCTGTCTTAGACCCCCCTTTTAGCAGCGCTTTTTAGAAGCGCTGTCTTAGGACCCCCCTTTAGCAGCGCTTTTTGAAAAAGCGTTGTCTTTGGTTATAAATTTTTTTAATTTTTTTTTTTAATTCCTCTTTAGCAGCGCTTTTTCTAAAAGCGTTGTCTTTGTATGCGCTGCTAAATGTCAATTCTGGCGTAGTGTTATGAATTACACCACACCCTAACTGATAACATCATAAAATGTGTTATGAATGGCCGACGAAGCGTCCCAATGATAAAATCACACTAAATGCGCTTATTCCCCATTACATTTTAACAAAATGAAGGTATCTTAGTTAAAACTGTATGGGGTGCATGTAGGGTAAATCTGGAAGTGCATGTTCGAACTAAATTTTGGGGGAAATATGGTGAGATTTGCTTAGAAAGTGTTTTGGTGTGAAAAGGATGTATTCAAAAATATACTCCCGAATTCTTAGGAGTATTTTTGTTATTCCTTAGAGTTTTTATCCACCACTTAGGGTGGGAGAAGCAATTCCCTAAATTAATAGAGAATTTCTCAATGCACCCTATGTATTACTAGTACACCTCGTGAAAATACAATAATATCCCCAGATTCCGAAGATGCATCTCCGAACGCACCCCAAACACATACAATCAATGATGATTTTAAAAGTCATGCCCAAGATTTGTGTCTATTTTGATTCCGAAAATACATCTCTGTAAACCATACGGAGGTGTATTTCCTTAGCATACTAAAGAAAAAAGCATAGAAGACTAGAAAGTTGTAGTTTGACAATATAATATTAGCATTGATAAATAAAATCAACATTACATAGGTGATGTTAATAAACATCAAACATTACATTTCAATATTCAGGTGAATGTTTCAACATCTTCATAATATATTCGATCGATTTCGAAATCGTCGCATCTACCTCAATCGAAACTTTTGTTTCTAAACAGAAAAAAAGTATTCCGCATAGCCCTTAAATTTACACACATCTTAAGCTCAAAGTTGTTGAACTGAATCTTCCCTTCGTTGTCAAATGACCGTGAACGGTACTTGAGCTTCACAAATTTTTTCTCTTTGTAAGGTAAGAGATTCTGCAGTATGTATTTTAGATCTGTAAGAGGGGTGTACTCATTGAACTTAAATTCAATTGAAGCTTTTGTGCCATTGAAGTAGACATATGCGACATGCCAATTGATGCCCATTTTGGTGTAATGTGTTTTGGTATGAAATATGAGACAAGAGCCCATACTTATGCCAATGGATGTTCTAGGGAAGCATTTGTGGTACCACCCTATTATGTTATTTTAGAGATGTATTTCTATAACCGCTGAGAACATGATAAAACTTTGTTCAAGACAAAAACAAAACCTGTATTAAATATTTTTTGAAAAACTTCAAAATATATTGAAATATTCGTAAATGTATATATTAGACATTATTACTATTAATACAAGATTACATATAATACAATGTTGAATAAAAACTAAAATGAACCGAAACATTTGTTTCCGGCTATATATATATATATATATATATATATATATATATATATATATATATATATATATATATATATATATATATATATATATATATATATATATATATATATATATATATATATATATATATATATATATATATATATATATATATATATATATATATATATATATATATATATATATATATATATATATGAGTGATACCTTCTTTGACTTTTGTTTATTTGATTCTCTTTCAATCTTTCTCAATTTGGTGAACTCTTGCATCATTTCCACAAAATGGTTCAACCAAGACTCAACTTTTATTGTTAAATAAGTTGTCCACTCCGGTGATGTAAGTGGTATACGTCATCTCAGTTTCAAATAAAATTGAACAAAGTTCCGCGAATTTGAAATCCGCCTAACACACATAATACAATCATTTGGATTTTGAGGTGGGGCAATGGGTGATGGGAAAAATGTTTCAAGAACCCCATCTTGTAAGGTTAATACACACTCTACCATACACACTTGCTATGAGATGACTCATTTAAGTGAAACACCCTTATTTATCCTCTGGTGTTGGTCCACTAATGCAAGGAACAAGAGATTCATAAATTGCATCAATTTTTTTCCTGTATAGACATGTGTATGATTCTTTATGGCGTCTCAACTCTTGGTTGCCAACATCTACCTCGTTCATAAGAACCCGTTTGACATCTAGAGACACACTAGATTTAGGGAAAACATCGGGGGTACACCATATATGATGAAAACAACAACATAAAATACTAAAAAAATAGCTAAAACAGAAAACAAATAGCTCGAAAATCAAAACTAAAAAACTCCAAAAATGCATTTCCTGAGTAATTCATACGAAATCCGAAAATACTTATTCAAATTAAACGTAAGTTTTTTTAACTTCAAAACAAATTAATGCGAGCAATGACTCTTGAAATAAACGATATTTATTTTGAATTCCAACTTCTTTTGCTCATTTTGATGTGATGAAACACAAGAATGAAGTTTTAGAGTGAAAATTTAGATTTAGATTTGAAGGATTTTTGAAAAGGGTTTTTAGAAAAAATGGGTATGGGGTCTAATCATGCAAGTGGTTGTTTTATTAAAATCGCGTTTGATATTTCTAAAAATACATCGCGTTTGATATTTCTAAAAATAACTGACATGCAAAGATGACAGGTGTTCAAATTGCCGCTTCAAAACTTCAGAAATGCATTTCTAAAAACTCTACTAGGATTTTCTATAAACAATAAATTGAATTGATATGTAAGAAGATGCATCCTCCGAATAAAATTTTGTTTTAAAAGGGTTGACAGTCATTTGACGTGTCATAAATGATGTAAAGGGTGCATTCGAAGATAAATCTCCAAAATTTGATGGATATTTTTGAATTTTCATAGAGTAATTTTTCATCTCATAGAGTGAGATTTTAATATCTTAATTAATATACAAGCTATATATGGAGGTTTCTTCCTCTCACCCCCAAGTTTTACTTGACACCCCCACATCCCTTATGCTTTTACCCTAACACCCTATGTGATTTTTTAGGTTTTTGAAAAATTGTGTGTTTTTTTTTTTTGAAATTTTTTGAGTTTTTTTTTTACACCAAAATTTTAAAGGATCTATTAGATTTGTACTGCGGATTTTTCAAACTTCTATAAATTTTTATCGGATTTTTCAAATATACTATCAGCTTTTTAAAAAAAGGATGAGTTTTTATCAGAGCTTTTAAAAAGTCTACGAGTTTTTACCAGATTTCTAAAAAAATCTATAAGTTTTTATTGGATTTTTAAAAAATTCTATGAGTTTTTTTTTCCAGAATTTTTAAAGAATATGTGTTTTTATCATATTTTTCAAAATATTGTATAGAATTTTTCAATAAACTATAAGTTTTTACCAGATTTTAAAAAGACACTATCGATTTAAAAAAAAAAAAGAGTTTTTATTTAAACTTTTTGAAAAATCAAGTAGTGTTAATTTCTTTTTTTTTTTTCTATCAAAATGAATTATCAAATTTAAAAAAAATAAAGAAATTACAAAACTTATTAAATTTTTCAAGTTGCATTATCAAATTTTTTCGTTCGTTCTTTTTAATTAAATTTTGACAATGATATTTTAGCCAATATAAAAATATATGGGTGACAGGTTAAATTTTGGGTGACGCGCGACTGGAAGAAACCATATATATATATATATATATATATATATATATATATATATATATATATATATATATATATATATATATATATATATATATATATATATATATATATATATATATATATATATATATATATATATTTTTTTTTTTTTTTTTTGAATTGGTGAGCCCAAAATTAAATAGGCCCAAGACAATATCATAATTGCCATTACACCTCACATTTTATTATATTACACACTAGCATTCATTTCATAACATTTTTGCAATTACAGAAATGTATTCTTTTATTGCTTAGAGTTAAAAGGGTAAATATGTTTTATCGTAAACATTTTCATTTCAATTAACTTTTCCTCATTCCAAAATTCAAAGCCAAATGCAGCTTTATTTAAAAAAGTGAATAAAAGAAAAAAGAAAAAGTGTAGTGAGGACGAAAGAGTAAAAGGAAAGGAAACACCCAAAAAGGACAAACAAATGAACAAAGAATAGGAAAAATGGGGTCACGAGACTAAATATTTAAAAAAATGAAGAGAAAAAAAAGGACAAACAAATGAACAAAGAATAGAAAAAATGGGGTCACGAGACTAAATATTTAAAAATAATGAAAAAAAAAAACAAAATGATTTATGTATTTATTTATAAATAAAAAAGAATCAGAATAATAAATTTCACACTTGACACTCTTTATTTTATCTCTCTATCTTCTTTCATAATCTTTCTCTCTCTACACTCTGGCAGTTTCACTCTCAGCCTCTCTGTCTTTGAGTTTAACACTATGCACAGACAATCCTTAGGTTCACCATCTTCCAAACTCCATCTCCATGGAGTCATCAACGACGCAGAAACTCTCATCGCCGACGAACCACCGAAACCTCACCGTCTCTCTTCACCACCTCCCACACCGCACAAGTTCATCCACCTCATTCCAATCCTCACTCTTTTCTGCTTTTTCATCCTCTACTTCTTCTCCCACACTCCTTCACCTTCAGACCTAGATCACCATTTCACCGGATTCAAACGTCATCATGCAGGTACATCAATGCAAATTTCATCATTCTTTATTTATTTCGCTAACTAATTTATTCACAGTTTCATATTTTTTCTCCAGAATTGAATAGTGATATTGGAGTGCATTACGCTGAGGCGAAAAGAAGCGATGGATTGGCGATTAGAAGTTTGCAACAGATTCCTAAATCTCAACTTCACAGAAAACTCGCCGATTTTTGAGAAGCAATCTTCAAACAAACTCTTCACACGTGTGATTCTTCCATCCTTACCCTTCCATTCCTTATTTATCTGGAATTGTTTTAGATTGTGGATTCAGTCGGTAAAAAAAAATGAATAAAATCATCATCTCATATCTTTCATTCAATCGCATAGTTAATTTTATTAATTACTAGTATTATTAATTAATAGCTGTATCGTATTTAGTGTTCGGCTTAAGATAGCAGTCAATGCGCCGGGTGTGGAATACAGCTGTATTCTGTTTTCTGACCGTTGCTTCGTCTCGAGTGCGGTTAAGGACTGCCAGCTGGAAATTGCGGTGTTTTAATTAATTGTTTCTGCCTCGGTTAGAAATAAAACGGGTCTTCTTACGCCGTCACCGCTGCGTGGTGTAATTGGGGTTACACGTGGCGTTATTTGGGGCAAATAAACGGAACGCGACGGAAAAAAATGCTGCAAATAAAAGGTGTCGGTGTTGGAAGTTTAACGAAACGGCGTCGTGTAAGAAAAATCTTAGAACAATACGGAAACAATCAAATGAATGAGTTGGGCCAGGATCCAGTGTGGTTGATGATGATGGTGTAGGTGGGACCTCGAGGTTTTATTTATTTTTAATTTTTTTGATTGGTTGGTAGCTAATCATTTTGAATGATGATGAAGCAATAGGATAAGTTATATTAGAAACGGTAGGGTTCATATAATTCATCAAACTATATCCAAAATATATGAATACATGAAGTATTATTGTATTGATCGTTTATAACTATATTTTGCTTTGTCGACACATATCACGTAGTGACAATATTGTAATAAAGTATGAATTGTACACTCATTGCTAAGAGGCTGAGGTGGGTGTACACATACATAATAACTCTCGTACATATAATTGAGAAATTGACATTGTTGATAAGAATGCTTGACGAAGAAATTGAGAGAATACGAATATTTATTAAATTAGATTATTAGCAAGGTATAGTATTGATTTCTTGGTGAGTAGCTTTATGACACGTAACAAAATTCTTTTTCTAATTAGTTTACGTGTCTTTTTGACATTTCAACAATGTTTTATGATTTGGAGTATTATATGTGTTTGATATAAAATGGAATAAAAAGAAAAGATAAAGACAGAGGCTTTTGAATTATTCATATGAAATTTTTTATATTTAAGTAACGATGCCAATCATGCAAAGCTGATTTTTTCCCCCTGCCTTTTTGTAGTGGGATTTAATTGAACCTTTAAGTCGCTAATTTACTTAAGTAGTAAGCTTATTAAGTGGTCATCCTCAACCCTCTGAGTAATGCAAGGCGTTACACAATTATAGTAAGAATTGTGTTTATTAAAGTATCTCTTTGATGCAATCAAGTCTCGTTTTAAAGTTTAATGCCATAAGTGTCGGTAACTAACTAACCTCATGTTTGACTATTAAGGGAATCAGATCCGGCGAATAACTCGCATGCTTATGAGCTCAATGTTCAAACATCGGCTTAGGATTCGATCAGAGTAATGTAGATAAAACCGAAAATGAAAGTGGAAAGTAATTCCACTATATGAATCATCATTATCTTTAAGACTATCATCTCTTTCAACTTTAAACTTTTTATTGTCAAGTTTTCTGTATCATTTAATTAAAATAACGAAGTGTAAAATAAATATTAGAGTAAATTACACTTCCCTGTCTGAAAGATATTCTCATTATGAAATAAGAATTTTGATGACATGAGTTTCGTCTATGATAACCTTGACGCGCCCAATAATGTAGAAAGGGAAAAAAATGATTGAAGTTTAACATAGGCAAAATAAATGATGGCTTTGAGCCCGGTTGAATTCAGTGATATAGATTTGATCCTCTCTTGAGAAGAAGTATAAACGCACCTAACATTTGTGGAAATTATGGGGAAAAAGGAGAGGGAGAAGATGATTATGGGGAAAAGGAGAGGGAGAAGATGTAAGAGGAAAAGAAAACAATGGAGGAGGCTTATAAAAAAAAGTGTGTTGCATTATCTCAGGTTGAGGCTACAATACAAAGTCTCAAGTAGGTGGCCAAGACTAATGCCTCTACTGTGGAAACAATGCAAAATGACTTTGAGGAGTCTCATATTAAGATTCTTCTTTCTTTTGGCCAGTCCTTTGGGAAGGCGGAGAAGCAAGACCTTTTCTTATACCCCAACCTTAACCTAAGCGATGTTTGAGTTATTCAAGATTATTTACGATGATCTTTCAAATTGGAAAACAACAGTTGATCTTTTAAATCTAACTTTGGTGACTCACATGATCAATCAGATTGATCCAAGGATATTTGTTAAATTTTACTTTGAAGAAAATCCTAAAGAACTAAACACTTCGACGATGTTTATGAGAAAACGGTTAATGTAAGTGTAAGGTTCGACAGAAAAGAAAGGACATGAAATTGTAAGAAACAAAGTAAAGAGCCTTAAAAACACTTAAACTAAATAAAGCGTAATGCCAGTAGACGTAAATTGCAAAGAAGAATAAGATAAATTCCTTTAAGATAAAACGAAAGTAAATTCCATTAAAATGTAAGAATTGTGTTTTACATTACGTACATTCTCCCAAAACTCTTTTCTCTACACTCGGATATTTTGAGTAAATTTGGAGTAACTTGTACAATAGTAAATTACAATACACTGAATTTTATTGCTAGAATCCCTATTTATAATAATATGATTAACTGTTGTTAACCTCCTAAAACGATCGGCCCATGACAAGTGTCGCGCTGCATGTAGTTGCTTCTTGGATGTGCGCCACTTGTCTCGTTCAACAATGAGAAAGCATAATTATTCCCTCCCTTATTTGAATTTCAAATGCTACTAGTATTTGGTCAGCACTCTCGGTCGAAGGTGACCTATTTAATCTTAGAAATATTTTCTAAGTCCCAAAAGTCTTCCTTCCTTATGTGGATGCCTTCGATTTCATTTATGGCCAAGACCCACTCGAAGGTTTTTCCATATTACTTCAAGATTTCAATATCTCACCCAAACACTTTAATTTAATATGGGCGTTGAATTTGTGAGCTAATAAATTGCTCCCCAAAAATGTCTTTTTCGACCATACTGAAGAAAAAGGCTATTTTTTGACAGTATCTGATTCGACGTCATCTTTCAACCCCCACATATGTGTCAATGCAACTGACTACCCATGACTTGAAATAAACTATTCAGCTACTTTTCAAGCACGTCCATGACGTCATGGGTCATTATGAAACAATTTCTTGGAAATTCCACCAAATCCCATACCATCATCATTTTCTTAGGACCTATGAAATCGTGGGTCTAGGTAATAACTGCCACCGCCCCCACTTTCATTCTTGGGACGACGCGTGTCCCACTACTCTTAGCCCTCAATGATGAATAGTGGCTTTTGATTACTTCAAAACATCTTATAAATAATTTCATCAGAAATCATTTTAACTTTTTCCAACCCAAGCAATCACTACGCATCTCTTCCAAACACTCCCAATCTTTCTTCAATAAACTCATTTTTACTAAAACATCATCAATAACGCCATCCACTACTGCCACCCAAGATCAGAAGAAAAATCCTCAGACCAAAGGACTAAAGACTGCGTCACTACTTCCTCTCTTTGCTACACTGAGCGGGCCTAAAATGGTGAAGAACTAACAATTTATTCCTGAACCCCTTATAGAAGAGAAGAGGCATATTTATGAATCACAAGTAATGATCCCCATAACTGTTTCAGGTAAACCTTTAGCTTTATATGGCCCTTTGTCTCCTTTAGGAACCAATTATTCAACCCTCAGTGACTTCTTTCCCTCATATCGCAAAACTAAACCTTTAGGGCAGAAAGATCATACCAAAGTACCCACTAAAGGTCCTGACATCCTGACTTTACACAACGTAGACCTTAAGTATCTAAATGATGGATTCAGGTTGTTTAGAGCGACTCCTTACTTTAAAGACTCTGATCTTTATTTGAACTAGTTGACCAAAGTAGAGAAGGTCAAGGCTGACGCTTGGAAGAAAACCAGGATTTACGACTTGATCATGATGTCGAAAGCAGGTCCCACCTACTGCCCCATTTTGCTGGCCTCTTCCTTATACTTCTGGGATAATATCCATTACACTTTTCACCTTTCTTATGGGATGATGACACCCACTCTTTTTGACCTAGCCGCTATCACAGGGCTAAAACCCCATGGATTGGTTTATGATCCTAAAGTGGATTGTCAAGACACTATAGGGTTTTCTGTAACACCCTGTTTCCCAAAATAAAATAAAGCACTTAAAATAAACAAATATCAGAGTTTCTCCCACAAACGGGATGTTACAATTTCCAACAAAATTCCACAAATCATTTCCTAAACTGATTTTCAATAAAATTTGCAGCGGAAAAAGAAATAAGTAGTCTGCCATATATCACATAACATATATACATCATCCATATCATCAACATCGTCATATACAACAATCGGCCATCTGCCCAGAATATACATCCATCAAACATGGTCACATATCCCACAAAAATCAGATACGCCACGGGGGCACACATAAACAACAATAAACAATAAATGCTCCCAAAAAGCCCCGGTGTTACGTATGAGAGCAATCCTACGACGACGCCATAATCCAAACTAGTTAAACACCTGGATTGTCTGTACTTCCGAAGAAGCACAGACCACAACAACAACAGAGGGATGAGAAATCACGATCAAATATTAGCGGTATAAATGTACATGAAATAAAAGGCAGAAACAATAAATCATTATTTCACATACAACATATTCGGACCTACTGTCCCATCATCAACAATCACAACACACACAAACAATAATGCAACACATGCACTCGACTCAACAATATGCGGTACCGACTCAACTTAGGATAGATCGCATACACTCCATCTGAGCAACGATTTATCCCTACCACGCTCCTCCTGAGCCCATATAATCAAATCTCAGGATAAATCGCATACACACTGAGCAACGATCTATCCCTACCAACGTTCCCCACTTGGAACACGGGT